TGCCATTTCCACCTACTCGACGAAGTCTTGTGCTTCACCCACAAGGATCTCCGTTCCAACCAAGTAGTGGTTGAATTCAGTAGTAAGAATTTGAATTTTTTGTGTTTAAATCATGAATTTAGATAGGAATTTAAAATAATAATCTAAATATCTAAGTTCGATAATAATTATTTGTTGGGGTTAAAATTTTCAAATTTTGTGATAAGATCTTAACTTTAGTTTCGACATGAGTGTAACGGGATCCCTTAATATTTCCTGAGATATATGGAGTAGCTATTGGCATATACATTTTGTAAGACCCACTAAAAAAGAATATCCATTACAAGCTATTCCTGTGTCACCTTTTCCACTTGGACTCCTCCATGGATGATACACTTAATTGGGAATTGCAGGACTATTAGCCTCGTAGCCATTTATGTGTAAATCTTAATAAGTATATTTATTATTTAATAGGATTTATGATAATTAATGATACTTTTTATTAAATATTATTAAAAAAGTTACTAATTATTAATTTTTAGCGGCAGTTTGAAAATTTTATCACAAAAAATGTCATTGATTATAAGTTTTAGTGACAGTTAAAAAAAAATTGCTACAAAAAACGTCACTAATTTTCAATTTTCAATGACAGTTTGAAAAATTCGTCACAAAAAAGTGTTACTAATTGTAAGTTTTAGCAAAAATTTATAAAAACTGTGACAAAAAAGTCATTAATTATCAATTTTTAGCGACATGTAAAAAATCGTCACAAAAAACTATTTTTAGCGATAATTTTATTAAGACTTATTTTCAATAAAATTTAATAGGAATTAAATCTAACTATTAGGATAAATTAATAATTTGCCTAACAAATTAAGGGTCTGTTTGGTAATCATTCCATTTTCAGTTTTTAGTTTATATTTACAAAAATTTTAAAAATTGTTATAAAAACTTGTTTGATAATTTTTTTGGTTTATAAATGGTTGTCTCAATTTATAAATTTGAGGAAAAAACATAAACTCAAAAAATGAGTTTACGTTTTAGTTTTCAATTTTTTTTTAAAATAATTTTTTTCAATTAATTTTTTTTTTCAAATAGATTTTTTTTCAATTATTTTTTTAATTAATTTTTTTTCAATAATTTTTTTTCCAAATAATTTTTTTTCAATTAATCTTTTTTTTCAATTAATTTTTTTTTCCCAATTAAAATTTTTTTCAATTATTTTTTTAATTAATTTTTTGGAAAAATTATTTATAAGTCCTATTAGGAAGACTTATGCTACATATGGTCCTACTAAAAAGCTTATGTTCCCATAAGTCCTGTGTGAAGTTTGTTGACACATTTACCTTCTATATTAGTTGTTAATATCATAAATAATGGTAAAACCATATATAGGAAATTGAATGTTACCATAGATTAAGTTTGCAAAACGTAACGTGACACCTACATAAACGTAACGTAACGTGACACTTACATAAATGTAACGTAACGTCTCATGTTACGTTTCGCAAACTTACTAGGTTTTGATTTTTTAAATTGAATATGAAAATGTTACTTATTCGTGTATTTTGAAATTCATATTCATATAGATATAATCTATGGTAACATTCAATTTCTTATTTCCTATATAGGAAATTGAATGTTACCATAGATTAAGTTTGCGAAATGTAACGTGATACCTACATAAACGTAACGTAACGTGACCATATCAGATGGGACATTACATAAACGTAACGTGACGTGACACATACATAAACGTAACGTAACGTGACACCTACATATACGTAACGTAATGTTTCACGTAACGTTTCGCAAACTTACTAGGTTTTTGATTTTTTAAATTCAATTTCCTATATATGGTTTTGTCATTATAGTGTATAATAGTATATTAATACCATTTATTTACAACTCATAGGATCTTGTGGAATACATTTATATCTAAATAGGACTTGAAATTCTATAAGAAATTACACAGGACTTAACCTAGTATAAGTGTCTGAAATATGACTTATAAATAAGTCTCCCTAATTTTTTTTCAAATATATTTTTTTAATTAATTTTTTTTCAATTATAATGTATGTGATCCCATTGTCATAAATAATAAAAATAAATATAAATATTTTAGGTATGAGCAAACATATTTTTTAGTTTATGTTTTTAAATATTTTATTCAAACCAAACGCGTTTATAATTTATGTTTTTCTAAAAATAAGTAAAAATCAGTTTATGAAATTTTTATAATCATAAACCAAAAACATAAATATTACCAAACACTACTTAAGCATTTTAACGGGTACGACAAGGAGTATTAGTATATCCTCATTTTGAATTAGGAAAATGAGTGAGAGCACTAATTAGTGCTATCACTAATGATGTAGCAATGGGTCCCACCAGGAATGATTTGATGTTTTGGCCTTGGTGTTTTATTTTTTTTCTTTTTTTATTGAGTGCCATGTCATTAGTGGTCTTTTTAGAGCTCCAAAATTAGTGGTCTCTATCATTGTTGTTTGAATTATGCGGGTCTCCATGTTATAATGCCCAACTATGAGGGAAAAAGTACGGTTGACAAAAAAATCGAAAAAATTTCAAATTGATCGAATTTAGACCAACTTGTATTATTTGATTTGATTTTCTTAATGTATGGTTCAGTTTAACTGCTACGACAAGGAGTATTAGAGCATCTCCAACCCTGGACTTCTTTTTTTTATCAAATCTGATGAAAAAAATGATACATTCCTCAATTTGATACCACTGGCTCCAATGCTTCACTTTTTATCAAATCTGCTCCGGGGACAATCGGTTGGTCGACCGGTAAGAGGAATTTTTTTTTTTTGAACTGTTTGAACTAATTTTTTTGAACTGTTTGAACCGTTTAGTGGTCGACCGGTTGGTCGACCGGCCAGTCGACCGGTAAGGCGAAAAAAATTTTTTTTTTTTTTAACTGTTTGAACCTTTTTTTTGGAACTGTTTGAACCATTTGGTGGTCGACCGGCCGGTCAACCAGCTGGTCTCCCCAACGGTCATACACAGTGTTTTGGTGAAATGCGGAGTCTGTCCTCATTTTGATGAAACGTTTGGTGAAATCTCGATTTGATATCAATTTGGTGAAACCATTGGAGCATGAAAAAGTGCTTTTTTCACCAAATTTTAAATTTGATGTCAGGTTTGGTTCAGGGTTGGAGATGGTCTTAGTATATCCTTATTTTGAATCATGCGGGTCTCCATGTTAAAATGCCCAACTATGAGGGAAAAAGTACGGTTGAGAAAAAATCAAAAAACTTTCAAATTGATTGGAGCTAGATTGAGTCATATTATTTGATTTGATTTTTCCAATGCATGGTTTTGTTTTCGTTCTTAAAATAGGTGAATCGTACTTCACGATTTGGTCCGTGATTTTATTGTTATGATTACAATTTAAAACTGAATTAGACCGTTTAGATATATACATATATATAATTTGTTATTTATAGTAGACACTTAAATATTTTAGAGCATTTCTATTGGTTTGCTAAATGGGCTGCTAAAGGCAAAATATAGCAGGTGTGGAAAAATATGGTGTTCCAACAGCCTGCTATTGATGCTGCTAAAATGGCAATTATTATTTCTTGTATTAAATTTGACACAAGGTTTACCTATAACTAAAGTTGCTAGCGCAACAAATAGAGAGAAACAACAAATTTTGGATGACCACCCAGGGACCATCGAATATTTGTTAAAGTTGTCAATTTGGACGATCGCTCGGACAATCATCCGGATGACCACTTAAAAGTTGGTTAAGCTAAAAAATAGCAACTTGACCATTGGAGCAACATTGCTATCCTATTGCTATTTTACACAGTTCATTGCTAAATGATAACTTTAACTATTCATTTTACCTAATTACAATTGGAGATGCTCTCATTAATAACCTATATGTATTGACAAGTTGTTAACCCTTTATTTACAAGTGTGTTCTTCAATAATAGTAGAATTAGTTATGAATAATCATTTAAATAATTTTATTTGGAAAATGTTGATATATTGATAATGTTGTGAATGACGACAAAATTATGAGACCATGATTTTAAATCGAACCAAATGACATTTTGATGATTTGAATTAATTTGGTTTCCAAATTTTTATGGTTTAATTTTATTTCGACTTTTATGAAACCATAAATAGCCGTTTAGTTTTGGTTTACTTCATAACCAAACCAAACCAAACCAAACCTCACCTCTCCACTCCAAGAAAAAGTGTTGCTCTCTATTTCTTTGTGCCGACAAAATATTGTTTTACATTTTTTAGTATTTAGTATGAGTAAAAAACATTTTTCGGTACACATAATAAGCTTATTTGGACAATGTTTTTTTTTTTAAAAAAAAGTAAAATTACTTTTCGAATTAAAATCTTACAAATACTACCACAATAGTACCACCATAACTAATAAAACTATTAGTACATTAATTTCAATTACACAACAAAACATAGAAAACATTTATCTTTTTAAAGTAAAAAATATTTTCAGTTAAAAGATGTTTCCCATGGAAACAACCGTATCGTAAGTTAATTTAAAAAATAAATAAATGGATATTTTATTTTATTTTTTGATAAAACAAATATCACAATCAGCCCTCGTGCTTGTGTTAGCAGCATTGGATGGTTATGGCGGCAGGGCCTGAAGCAGTATGAGAGCAAGGTAGCAGCACTATGTACAACCGAATTGGTTGGCATTGTGGTCACAGTAATGTTGCATGGTGCGGCTAGCAAGAATCAGATATATGCAACCTTATCACCTTATCCTTTATGTGGGGAGAGGTGTGTTTCAAACCCATGAGGATTAAGTCACAATAAAGCTGCCTTGCCCTTGCAGCAAGGCCCAACGTTATATGATGATAGAGATGAAATGTCAAGTCAACATACAAATACCCATATAAACCGTCACAATTAATCGCTATCAACTTCCATGCTAATGCAAGAAGAGACTCAGAAAAATGGCCAAGAAAACCAATTGGTGACCCAAGAAACCAGAACCCGGAGCCAAATTATTATGAACGTACAATAATATCATGAAGGACCGATTTATGCAAGGTAGTATACTGTGAAAATAAGTCATTAACTTGACTCAATATCCAAAAACAAATACAAGGAACATTATTCTAGAACCACCTTCTAATAAAATCTTCAAGCTAGCTAACACATGACAGGCATGTGCAAGCACACAACTGTTTACATTGTCTGCACCATCTGGAAATGATAGTAATGCAACGTTGCCATTAATTGGCAATAGATTAAAGAGATCCTATCAAGCAATCATAAATCATAATCGAAGTATCTGTATCCATTCATTGAATATGCAGTGCCAGCCACCTTAGATGCATCCATTATTTCAATAATAGGGCATGTACCGCATTGGCCTCCTGAACCTGGGAACCTTCCTGCAGCATGTTCCAGTAACATAAAATAAAAAAAGGATAATACATTAATATGAAAGAGAGAAAAGATCTATCTATCTCAATCGATTTTTATTTTTTATTTTTTATTTTTAAAAAAGGGGCCTAAAAGGAGCTTACCCATATCCATAGGGGGAATAGAAATAAGGAGGCACATAAGGCCTCCTAAATCTGTAACCCATGTAAGGGTTGAATCGTCTGCCCCGGTATTGCTTCATCCCAGGAACATTAGTCCTTTTAGCCATAACCTGTAAATACAATTGACATTAGAAGCAAGCAACAATAAAAAAATTATAATGAACACAGAATTGACATATGCTGGGCACAATGATGTTGTTAAGATGCATTCAGAATCGATCTGTCAAACCCCTTCTCTTCATCTTTTTCTTATTAGGTAAAAGGAGAGAAAATAGTGACCTTCAATTGGCGGCCATGCAATTCAGATTCATTCAGACTGAGAGCCTCTTGAACACCTTCTGTTTCAAGGAATTCCACATATGCAAAACCCTTTGGTTGGCCAAACTTATCTGTCAGAATAGTCACTCTGTTTACAGTACCACAAGATTGGAAATGCTGCTGAACTTCTTCAGGGGTGCATGCATAATCAACCTGCCATACAACATGCAATCACCAAGCAATCCAATTGAAGAATGATCAAGAACAAGTTTTTCCTTGAACTTATCTCCTCTAAATGATTCATATTGGATCAGACAAGATATCAATTAGTGTAAGAAGCAGAACACCAATAACATAAGCACTCAATGACCAAAAAAAAGAGAGAGAGAGCTACAATGGGATAGGTAAAGCAAACCAAAATCACAAATTCACTAACTGAATTTTTTTTTTGGGCACTGTGTTTCTATTCAAACTAGTATCAAACAAGAAGAGTTGAAGATAAAAGTAAAATTTTCCTCCCTCCATCCCCCCTCCAAAAACTTCGTGTGAGAGAGATATAATGATTTTACAAATTTAATAAACAATAAAGAACAGAGACAACTATATCACTTTAAATGCTCTAATAATCAAAAGGATAAAAATTAAAAAATCAAAAATCTTTAGTGCTTTTTGGTTAGCTTGGCATAACTTTCCTTAAAACTGTCAACAGTCCAAATCAATCTTTAGTGCCACATTACTAAAAGCCTAAAACTACTAATCCAAGCTCACAAATTCTCACTAGAAATAAATCCGCCAGATTATGATGAAGCTGTTAGCACACCTTCCTTCTTGTACCATCAACTACTCACACAACCATTGATGTTCTTTAGACGTGATCCCCTTTCCACATATTTAGAAAAATCCCATGTTCCTCAAATTCAGAAATGGCATCCTCCTTTAATTAGAACAGAGAACTGAATCAATCAACCTTTTACTGTGAAGTGCAATGTGCATAAATAATCAACCTTTGCACTTTAGATTATTCATATTCAAACAACAATTATTTGAGTTCCTTATCTATATTTCAATTTGCACTCCCTTGCTTAAAAAGATGGCACACCTCTAGTTCTCCAACACAGCAAGACATCCTATAAACAGCAGATCAGAGGGTAAGAATTTAGTTTATGTGATTTTCATTATCCATCCACAACACCAACTTGCAGATCCATGAACTTTTTTTGCTCGTTGTATGTCAACAAACTAAATCCTCAGAAACTTTCCTTGTTCTGGAGAAGACATTTTCTAGTTCATAGGAAAGAGTCAAAGAGTCGTAAAAGCATTAAAAACCAATAGCAGGGAAGTCATATAAACAAACAACAAATTATGAGTGGAATAGTAGATTCAAACAATAATGCCAATAAGTAAAAAGAACAGGTATAACAAGGTGAACGTATTGGTTTGCACTTTGCCCAAATCAGCATTACTTATAGGATGATCTAATGTCATAAATTCCATGATCATCTCAATAACAGCATGATCTATGTTTCAATGCATTCGTAATAAAGGAGATAGAAGATTTGACAAACCAAATACAAATAGCCACTTCTGGACTTTAATCAGTTGATCTGAAAATTTCACAACAATAATAATAATTTGTAATGGCTTTGGAATTCTTTGTGAAAACAAAACAAGCACTATCGTTGATCAAGAGTAGTGTATTGTTTAAGGGCTTTTCTTTTATGAAATTCTGGAGTGATGCATCATATCTAGATTCCAGATAGAGAAAAATGTTGGGTGCCATTAAAATAATTTACAGCCACATCACTACTTAAAAGGGAAAAACCATAGATATTTGGTATTTTTTTTAGATGTGAACTGTAGATATTTGTTAAACAACTCTTTTCACAACTATTAATTTTGGTCCAAGAAAACGAGCAACCAATTAAGGTTAAAGGCACATAGCAATCAAGAACCCTCACCACATGTGGCTCAATCACTAGATGTATAAGAAGCACCATTGTCCACATGAGAGGCACCATTGTCCACCTTCATCAGCAGCAATCAAGCTTCAGAACTAAGATTGCATGGCAATGACTTGCCTTTGCTCTTCAAAAAATACATGGAATTCTCCTCTTGCATGTGTAGAACTCGAAGAATCTTAAGCCACATGTTTCTTACATTTATCTCTCTTCTTGCAATGTGTAGAACTCAAAGAACCTTAAACCACATACTTCTTACAATTATCTAAACTCTCTCCGCAGATGTCTTTTGCCAAGAGATGTACATATAACTCTTTCTGAAAATTTGGGTACACTTGATTTGCACAGCTTTCACTCATTTTAGTTTCAATTCATCACTTCTTTTCATTTTTCTTTTTTTCCTTTTTTTTCTTTCTTTCTTTCTTTCTTTTTTTTTTCCTTTTCTTGTTTTTCCCATTTCAAAAGTGTTCAATCCCTTTTTTTTGGGGGACTTCATAGTTTTTCTCACCCCCCCTCCGCTTTTCATTTAATCTTTTTTTCTTCTTTTTTCTTTTTCTCTTTCTCTCCTTTTATTGTCACATTTCAAAGAAAGGTTTGATTTTTTTTCCCCACTATCTAAAACAAGCTTATTTAAAAACAGAATAACATCCTTCCACCTTCAAGAAACAGGGTAACAATTCCAGCGCTATTCAAGAATAAGAATGACCCTGCGACCATATTAAGACATGAGGTAAAACCATGAGTCTTAGCTGAGAACTATCCACAACCACACTAAACGCATAACATAAAATAATAATCATAAATTTTCAATATCAACATCAGGTTGAACTCAAAATCAATCCATTTAGCATGCTTGAAATGCAGGCCTATATTCGGCGCACTCGGGCCTCGTTTGGGAACAGGCTAATTTAGCAACTTTTTGGCTATTTGGCTAAAATATGAACTTAAAAAAACTAGTATGTTTGAGATGACTTTTTGGCTTTTTACGAAAAGATGTGCAAAAAGTAGAGAGAAAAGAGAATCTTTGACTTTTTGGTATGGATTGTTGGCTTTTTGGCTAATTTAATAACTTTTTGGCTTTTTCGCTAAAAGGGAGGGTTTCCAAACGAGGCCTCAATGTAAGATTCAATTTTCATTGCAGATATTAATAATGGTGGACACTAGTGTCCCGTAATTCTCAGTTACAGGTTGTGCAGACACCAATCAACTACAGGGCAAAAAGAGCATTTTAGGTTCAAGCACTAACATCACATAAAAGTCCAATTATGCTGTAAAAAGGAGTAGGCAAGAAAGAAAGCTGCAACTGCATCAGAAGGTTGATGTTACTTCAAATGATACCAAAGTTACTCAGCTTTTATTCAACTTATCTGTGTATCATCATAGTTATTATATGTGTCTCAGTAAAAAAAATGGGATACAATTAAGCAATAAATATCATTTAATACAAGGAAGTGTGTAACAGACCTAGAGAAATAATATAGTGGGGGTGAGATGAAAATGGTGTAATTAAGGGGTACATGTATGATGCAGTTGTGGCTACAGTTACATCACCTGCAAGAGAAACTAGTGAATTTTCAATCATTGTAGAATTACATCAAGGGTCAACTTTGAGTCCTTACACAAAACAAGTTCAATTAATTTTTCAAAATTGCAAAAAGTAATCATTTATCGTACGTATCATATATGTATATCATGTATCATATATTACATTATGTAGCGTAAGATACATTTAACTTGAGACACTATGTATTGATTTCTCTCTAAAAATATCGAATCTTAAGATACGTATCGTGAATTGTAAGATATTGACAACACTAGTATAACCAACAGGATTAGATGACAGGTGTGAAAAATTGGAAATGCTTAATAATGAACAATAATATACATGCACGCACACACGAGAGAGAGAGAGAGAGAGAGAGAATTGGCAGTTCAGCACATGTATCATTATAACATGTACGAACAAAGATTATAACATGCAATTGAAAATGCATGCTAGCTAATATAAACAAATGAACAAAAGGCTAAATGTCAATGAAAAAATAGCTTTCTTGTGCTCACATTGCCAACAAAAATTGATCTTGAGTCCACCTCCTCCTTGCTTGCTTGAGTAGCAGCTGCACTAGCAGGATCTGTGAAAAATAATGAAGTTCGCAAAAATTATGTGTAGAAACAATGACAACGAAAATATAATGAAATAACCACACACACACACACACACAAAATAAAAAATAAAAAAATAAAAAAATAAAAAATAAATAAAATAAAATAAAATCAAACATGTGAATAAGTAGTACCCCCATTGAACCCCTAAGACCGAAGCTTTACACCAACTATAAATGCACCTTGGTTGGAAGATAAATTGAAAATATTGGTCATATTATCACAGACTGTATGCAAAACATTAATATAGAAGATAATGCTTTACAAAAACCATCCAATCCAGTGCACTCTCTCATGAAATACAATAATATTGTTCATGAAACAAGAAAACTATCACGGACAAAACAAAACATTTAGCTTTAGAAGGACAGTTTAATGTACTATCAAGCAGTCAACAAGTGACGTAGCACATACTAAATTTTATGAAGCCCAAATTTTCACATGTGTAGAACTAAGAAGCCTCCATCGCCATATTTGTACCAATGATATCAGGTCAAGGAGTTATACAAATGTGGCAGGTCCGAAGAAGGGGAAAAGGTCTCATTTTTCCTAGGGTGGAAGACATTTGAGCATTAGTTTACTGCATAATGGGGGCTATGTAATAGAATAGGTGATTCCACCACCACTATCCCATAACAAACTAAACCATTTGCCAAATTTGTTCTAAATAATTCATGAATTTATACAGATTGGCATACAGGAAACCAAGAAATTCTCTATTTCTTGGAAGGTTATTAAAGGTCCAGAGTGAGACAGCAATGCAGCACCTCACATAATTTAATGATATAGATCAAAAGAAGCACTCATTGGGCATGGTAAACTAAGAACTAATTATCAGTTGCATCACATATAAGAACCTGTCCCAGTGAGCCTCTTCACTAGCATTTTTCTCATTTGCAAAACCCCACTGAAAAGTCACCATATTCAAGTTCTTTAATAATAATTTATCATTACAAATTATGATTTTTTTAGTAAGTAGCTGCTAGTGCACATGCAATGCGTGAACAATTCTACTTTGTTCAAAACCCTTAGTTGACTACAAGAAGAAAGGAATATGGCGCAAAAGTTAAATATTAAATCAATTACCAGATGGATTGCCATGAAAACTTTCACTTTTGTTGAAGTGTTTGGTTTTCTTGAAGATCCTCAATAAATCCCTCTGGCATTCTGGCAAATTGCACTGGGTAGTGAAAGAGGGCATGGGGTAGGTCTGGTAGATTTGGTGGTGAAAAGAAGAAATGGTGTGTTTGGTGATTGGGTTGCTATTGTCATTTTGAGGAATTAGTTTAGAGATAGAGTTAATTGGTTCCAAGAAAGATAAAAAGGGATAATTTTTACAATTTAGTTTAAAAATTGATGATATCATATTTCATCTAGTTGATAAATGGAAAACTAACGGGATAGGGGTAAATGTTATACTACTATAAACCTCAAGGGAGGTCGATGTAATCAAAGTTTTTAAAGGTGAATGTGTAACACAAGGCGTATGCCTTAAAGAGGTGAGGCGTAAGCATTTTTATTTTTTAATGTTTATATTTAGTAAATAAATTAAATTACTTAAAATTAGCAAAAAAATATTAAAAATTAAATATAATGGTGTAAACACTTTTTTTTCTTAAGGCGCCAAACATTTTACCGTATTGAAATAAGCTTGCAATCATCAAAAGTGAAATCAACATCCTTAGTTTCCGTTTTTTGAGTTTTTCACTTGAGCTTCAATTTTGTGTTTTTTTCTTGATTGGTCATTTACATGACTTTTTTTTACAGAATATAGTTACAAAAGAGATTATTCTTTTTTATGTTTTTTTTATGTTTAAACCATTCCCTAGGCTAAGTTTAACAAGTGTGCAAGACAAGATTTTCATATGTGTAATCATATGCTTATGCGTAAAAGGCGTGCAAGGCGCACATTTTGAAAGTATTGTCTAAGGCCTCGTTTGGAAAGTCATCTTTTTAGCTAAAAAGCCACAAAATCACTAAAAAATAAAAAAGCCAACAACCTATACTAAAAAGTAAAGATTTCATTTTCTCTTTACTTTTTGTACATCTTTTCAAAAAAAACTAAAAAGTCATCACAAACATACTAGTTTTTTTTACATCATATTTTAGCCAAAAAGTCAAAAAGTTACTAAAAAAGTTTATCCCTAAATGAGGCCTAAAAATCAAACCTTTGATGTGTTTTGCTCCAGCCTCACCTCACCTTGAGGTGATCCTCAATAAAACCTTTTAAAACGTTGGGTATAATTATCTCATACTAATGGTTCATGCATATTTTTTCTAACTCTAGGGAGGTTTGTATAATTTATCCTATTTTTTTAATATTTTTTTTAATTAAATGTTACATAGCTTCACTTCTGGTTCACATTCTAATGAAGGCACGAACTATACGAGTGATGATCATGGCAATTACTCAAGATTGAAACAATTAGGATCAGAAAAATTATCTATACTCGGTAAAAGATCCTAGTACACTTATAGCGGTTTAAAAGAGAAGAGTAAAATAGTTATTTGATCAGCGATATTTTAGCCATACAAAGAACAATTATGAAACTTTAAAAAGTTGTGTGCTTTATATAATAGTAGTGTATATATACTAGTGGTTGTGCATACATGATTCGTGTATTGTGATATTTCCAACTGCCTTACTTTTTATTTTAAATTTCAAATTTTTATGACTTCATCACTTTTCTTTTTGTCTTCATCTACATTTTTTTTGTCAATCAGTAAAAGATCAACCGATTGATTTTCATATGACATCTCCATCGACTATGCATATTTATGTATATATATATATATATTCTATTATATAAAGACCACAACCCTAAAAAGATACAATTTTGAAATTCAAAAGAAAAAGTGAGGCATTTTATAAGAGAATTCAATTTGGGAATGCAAAATCTGTGACAGCTTCACTGCATTATAGACTTTATATAAAATTGAAAAGATAACAGCCCAAACTGATCAAAATATCAACGCAACCCGATGGACATTATTTATACATATAAATGCACGGAAGATTAAGATGGAACCCTAAAACGAACAAGAGGAGATCGGAGAAACCTTGAACAGCGCCCATTTCCTTCTCAACTTTAGCTTGCATCTCGCGGAGAGCGGCAGCTTCTTCCTCCATCTCCTTCAACCGTTTCTTCATCTCATCTAGTTCCTGTCAATCCAACCACCGATCCAGATCCAATCGAATTAGGGTTTCATATCATCAATTGTAGGAGATTCAATCATAAATATGTGTATATATAGAATAAATTATAAAGATAAGAGAGAGGGGGGAGGGGGGAGGACCTTGACGGCGTCATCGTCGGCGGCGGACATGTCGACATCGGCGTTGTCACCTTCCATTTCACCCTCCACGGGAATTTCTCCGCCGTACACCTCGTGTTCCTCTTCCTCCATCTCCTCTCTCTCTCTCTCTCTCCCTATCTCTGTAAACCCTCGCGGTTTCTCCTCGCGCGTATATATAAAGGGAAATGCTTAGAGCTCTAATTTGAGCTCTGTGTCAAAGCAAAAAAAAATAAAAAAATAAATAAAAATAAAACAAGGCACAAATATTACATTAGGGTGAGTTTTACTTTTTCATTAGAGCTATTATAGCTCTTATATTAGAGTCCTAAAGCATTTTTAATATATAAAATGGTGGGTTGGGTACTACAGATGGGCGTACGGAAAATTTTATGTCTACCCCCGTAATTAATTCAGTACACATCTTCTTTCGGTTCATATTTATTAATTTAATAATTAATTAATGAAAAAAGTTTTGAATTTTAAATAATTTATCAAATTTTTTACTAAATCACACAAACTCACATATGTATAGATCTCACATCCATGTGAAGTATTTAGTAAAAAATTTAGTAGATTATTTAGGATTCGTAGCATCACTCTTAATTAATTTTTTTATATACTAAAAGTTATAATTATATCATTCACTCGTAATCATTGTACACACACTTTGCTTCCATATTTATAAACCCATATAAAAACTATTCAAGACCACAGTGTAAAATGAAGTGAAAAGAAGACAGTTTGAACCTCTATTAAAAACATCATTGAAAATCCTTCAAAATGTAGTTGAAGATAAGACATCTTTCCATTTTATTTTTGCATTTACCATTTTGTTATTACATTTACCGTTTTTTAGATCCCTATGCACTCCATTGCTATAAAACACTTACTTTTTAAATATATTTTTCAATTTAGGAATTTCAGCACTAGTTTTCCGAAATTATACATTTAATTCAAAACATAACTTTTGAATAAAATGATTAGTTCGATAAATTTGTTTCAAAGAGTTTTTTTTTTTAAAAAAAAACTTTGAAAATCAATGTCCAAATATAATGAAATAATTCGGCATTGGTTGTCCAACTAAAAACCGCGAAAGGGGAAAAAAAATTATGCATGAAAAAACTAACTTTTTCATCACTAATTTTGTTGTTACCAGATATATTTTTTTATAGCGATTCGGGTTTAGACCTGACCCATTTGACATCTCGAATTCGGGTTTCATTTCCTTGTATAGTTGTTCTTGCCTTGTTCTCTCCTATTTCTTTTGAGTTTGGCTATTAGGATGTGTTGGTTACGTTTGGAACAGGTTGATAGCTTGTTTTTCAAACTGTTGTTGACTAGAATTTTGCTCCGCGCTCGAGCTTCACTTCTTGAGCTCGAGATAATAATAATAATAAAGAAGTTTTGAAAATAATTTTAAGTTGTATTTTAAAGATATGTTAAGTTAACATGTTTTTATTTAAATCATGATTTAAGAATAAAGTTGAGTTTTGAAAAGTAAACCGAATGTTACCTAACATTTTTATCTATAATAGAATATACATCTAAAGATTAAAGCAAAATGAGAGTTATGAGAAGTTTTGCAAGCAATAGAGGAGAATAAGGTGTAGCAAGCAAAGTGACATTAATGAAAAAACTAGGGTTTAATTTTTATTTTTATTTTTTTACTCAAAATGTGTACATTGAGATTTTTATTTTTATTTTTAAAAGATGTGTATAGAGAATATTTTCATATAATATTATGGATGCTAGTGGATGTCTATTATGATATCATTTTAGTTTAGGATATAATTATAAGTGCACTTTTTGAATTTTTATGAAATATGGATTGGGTTTGAAGTGATGTTGTAGGGAGGTGATATGACTTAAATAAGATGATGCGACTTAAATAAGATAATGACTTTTTAACTTTTTATCTTTTTTTAACCTAAATGTAAGTGTACTTTTTGACTTTTTATAATAAAAAAAATATGTAGAAAAGTAGAGAAAGTGAGTAGAAAAGTAGAGAGAAGATGTTGATTGATATGACCCAAATAAGTGTATGTGTGGGAAAAAAAAAGTGCACTTTTTTAGTGCATTCCAAACACTTACTAAGTGGTTGTTTGTCATATATTAAAATAGCATATGCTATTTTAGCACATTATCCTATTTAGGTCACAATTATCTTATTTAAATTACATCACATTTTTATCACATCACTTCAAATACAATCCATATTTCACGTTTTTTCGTAAAAAGTCAAAAAGTATACTAATCTAACACTTCTCAAACAACCCCTAAGTGTGTGTATTGAGGTAATTAGGTGTATAGAAATAAAATTTCCTGAGAAGTACTGCAATACGCAAGTCAAGGGTAGTGCTATCTAAAATACTGCTCAATTCGTTAAAATTATATGGATTTGCATCAATTCGTATCGCTCAATTTGCTAATCGCGATTTAAAATTTAAAATTTATGATTCGTTTTCAAAATTGCTATGCTTCACTATAATTAATACATAGATATTTTTTAACTTATAATAAAATATGAAAGTAAAAATGAGCGTGAAAATATTTAATATATAATTTTTTTTTACAAATTAGTAGTTATATAAATGAAAAATATTATATAAAATTAGTTTGTGTTTTATATATATATATAATATTATGCAAATTAGTGTTATATATTATGCAAAAACATGATAATTAGTTAAAATATTCTTCATTTCACCAATCTATTAATTCATCATTCAATTTATAATTTTACTTTCAAACCGTCTGAACCGCACCACACACCTTAATAAATGGAATTGTAGTCATAGTGAAATATGACAAACGGTGCTGTTTTAATGCTGCTCAAGATGGAGAAAATATTGGCCTTATTTGAGAAGTTGGCTATTTTAGTTAATTATTTAATTTTTTGGCTATTTTAGGGGGTGTTTATTTGGGTTTTTTTGGGCCAACTTATAACTTCTAACTTTGAAAACGTTATTTTGAACTGTTTGGTTATACTTATTTTAAATAATTTCTGATTCTAACAACTTATTTTAACTCAAAAAAGCTGATTCTGAAAAGCTGCTCACCTCTTGCTTCTGATTATCAGTTTCTATTGTGGACATGTTAATTTACGGTTATACTCTTAGATTTTTTTATTTTTTATTTTTTTAAAAATAGAGAAAGACTCAAATGGACTATAAATTATTATTATTTTTTATGAGAAATGTAGACAAGTAGTAAATAACAAAAAATAAAAGTTAATTAAAAAAATTACGGCACAACTTATTTAACAAACACTACTTAGCAATTTAAATCGATAATTCAACAGCTACACCAAATAGATTAATAGCTTCTAATTAAAATCATAATCTATAATATGTTAAGTTATAATCTATAATCTGTTTTAACAGTTATACCAAACGGGGCCTTAGTCTAGCTAAAATTGTTATGTTTAGGAAATTGGTTGGTTTTTTTTATAATTGATTTAATAGTTGTAAAAGTGAAATGATTATAGATTAAATATGATATTTTGTGTTATTGATTATTTGAGTCTATTTTATCTTTGAGTGTGTTATTTTAACCCAATCCTCTTCTCAAACAAGGCCATTAAAGTTGTTTGGGAAGTGACTGTAATAGTCCAAAAAACAAAATAATGAAAAATAAATAAAAAGTAATTACAAGTTGTTATATCATTCTTTTTATATTTTTGTATATCATTTTATAAAAATTCAGAATGACAATTATAATAGTCAATTTCCAAACGAGCAATAATTCTCTGGTATCACTGGTCAAAAAAAAAGAAAAAAAAAATACAAAAAAGATTACATGGAATTTTTTTATCTCTTACTAATTTAACAATATTATAATTTTTATTTGTCAGAGATTAAAAGTCCCTATAGTTTGGGACTTGTGTCACTTTGATAATTGACTTTTTAATTGTGACATATTTGACTTTGAATTTTAAATCTTGTTTCAAATAAGGACAATTGAAGATAAAATTGCTCAATTTTAAGGGCAAAATTGTCATTTTGATAAAATATAAACTAATTTAACAAAAATAAATATCAAAAAAATATTTTTAAATTTTTAAAAATTATTTCTACACACCAAAGATAATTACGTAAATTTGATAAATCTTTTGCACATTTATTTATTTATTTATTTTTATCAAATTAATTTTTATTACGTGTTTGAGTTATGATCATGTAATGGTTAGTTGTTTATTTGATGCTTTTTGATAGTTATCATGTAATAGATGGTTGTATTTGTTGTTAACACATATTTTTTGATAATTATCATGTAATGATGGTTATTAAGCTTGTAATGTGTAATCAATATATTGAATATATAAAATGTTTTTAGTTTTGGATTTTTTTCAGTTAATGGATTAGTTTAATAATGATATCAAAGTTGTTGTCATATTTGATTTTTGAAAAAATAGAAACTAAGTTGATGAAAATAAAAATAACCACACATTATATGATCATCATCTAAACATATATTAAAAATTAATTTGTTAAAAATAAATAAATAAATATTTAAAAGATTTATCAATTTGATATAATTTTATCTTTTAAAAATTAAAAATAATTTTTTGATATTTGGTTTTGTCAAACTAGTTTATATTTTTATCAAATTGATCACTATGCCATTGAAATTGAGCAATAGATTTTCAATTGTCCTTATTTGAAATAAGATTCAAAAATAAAGGTCAAATGTGTTACAATTAAAAACTCAGGGATCAAAATGACACAAGTTCTAAACTATGGGTACCGTTAGTGTAATTTGCTTTTAAATGTGATACTGTGACTTGAAGTGAAGTCACTGTTACTACCAATATTCACCGTAAAATTATGTTAGA